TATATATATTGCATTGTAATTATTTTATAGAATAAAATAATTGAATTAAATTCATTCACGAACATATAACTTTTATAATATTATTACGTATACGAGTATTCCTTCGATGACTATAATATTATAACAGGGGCGGATTTAATCACTCACCAAGGGACGGGGTTAATGGAGGTTCAAGAATTTATTTAGTTGTTTTTTAAATCTATATAAAATTTTAAATTACAGAATATGTTTTTGAATCTTTCATAAGAATGTCATTTTTTTCACAATAGTGACAAATTTTAAATAGTTACATTATTGGTATCAATTTTAATCAGAAACCATTTTAAAAATATAGGTATACAGATATAATTAAAAACAAAAATGAACTATTTATTTATAAAAAAATATATAAAATGGGTATCATATTCATCAATGGCGATTGACGATATTTTATAATAATTATTAATACATCAATGTATCATAATATTTGGCTTTGTAAAATAGCTTAGTCCCAAGGTGGGAGGAGCTAATGTTCCCTTAGCCAGTCCCTTAAACCCGTCACTGGGGGTGAATAACATATACGGAGACTTGTACTTCGACGATTCGAACACGGAAACGTTGACGAAAATGCACACGATCGCGCACCGAGACACATGCACGCGACCGATCAGATTAGCATATCAATTGCATTACAACAATAGCCTTCATTGCGTTGCACAATCGTCTGAACAGTGATTTAGTTTAAATTTGCTATTAATTTTTAAATTTTTACACGGGCGCAGATTATACATCGCCTTCATCCACTTGATAAAAACTCGGGCGCATCTTACATGTACGATTTTGTGTTTATCTGTGCATTGGGCGCATTTTGCAACCGCTGAATAACGCAACGAGCGAATACGCATCCTGCTTGATAAATCGTTTTATCATTTTATTCTCTTTTATAGTCAGGGATTTTCACTATACTCATAGTATAACCACGTGTCTTTTATACAAGTATATATATATGCCCGATTCGGGGCAATTTTTTAATTAAAGTCTTAATTATACTCACTGTTGGTGAGGTCGTAATATAAAAAATAAACAATCAAATAATTGTGTTTATGACGTTTAAACAGTTGACACGATTTTTTTCACACTTCCTTCGTATTTTCCATGTTTTTATCATAATTTACGTCATAACAGTTTTCCGAATATTATTGCATGTGACGGCTGGTATAAGTATTCGTACACGAGTGTGCAATTGAAATTCGTTTATTGTTGGTCGGCATAAAGGTAAATTTGTATAGCATAAATATATATCTCTTCACATGTTTTTTTCTTCTCGTAAATTTCATTTGCTTGTCATTGTCAGGATATCTGTTGAGGATAGTTCGGTAAAATCGTCTTAGGTATATTACATGGATGTGCTGTGTATATTTTATCCATCTGATTATTCCACGGGTTCTCAATGCTGTAAGGTGAAATCGTTTTTAAATATTATTTTCTATATTTGATAACGATTTCATCATACTCGTTGCGTAATAGATAATCGTTGACTTGTATAAAAATCTCAAAACTTTTATTACATTGAGATGAGTCGGTAAAACCGAAAGAGAGTTTTTTTATGCGCAAGCAAGTAAGCTGTAAGTGCTCGTTTTAGCGGCAAGATTTAAAAGCCGGAAAAATGTTAAGAGCATTGGCAAAAAGTAGATATGGGGAAACTGTATTTAAAAAAAAAAGTATTTTTAAGATTTATTTAATTTTAGTTAAACCTTTAAATGTTGATCGAACGTCTTAAATATATACATTTTTACAAAGTATCGTTAAAATAAGGGTTCAGAATTGTCAATACTATTGATCAATACCTTGAGAACATTAACATTTTTACAAATTTTTATGAAAAATGTTAATAAATTTACAACACGATTATATTAATTATTCAACTAAAACCATATTAGTTAATATGTATTTCTTAAAATGTATTATCAATAAAAACAAACAATAATGTCAGATTCAACTTTTAAATATACGTGTATACGTACAGTCAATATATCTTTAGAAATTTTTCGGTGCATAATTTTCATTATATATTGTTACAATTACATGTGTAAAATTGTTGACATTATTATACCGCAGCATCATATTTTTTAAATCAAGAATAAAAATCACATTGACGAATATGTATAAATTTATTGTATTTGAGTACCAAAAATATATTATTATAATATGGGGACACATAGTATAATTTTACATAGAAAGTATATTGATGAATGATATTTTCAAAATTCTGTTAAACTCTGTTATTAATTATATATACTTTAAATGAAGTTATTGTATTTACAGATTCTTATTGTGCCTAGATAAAATAGATACTTAGATAATTTTTTGGAGATAAACATTTTTTCTTTATTGATTTGCTTTTTCGTCCTTTTTATATGCCTATTAAAACTCGAATTATCATGCAATCACAACACAAATATGAGTATACTTACTAATTTGTACTCTATCTAATTATGTAGTTCATGATTATATTCATTCAATCTATATTTCACTGTGCTTGGAAAGTACAATATTTTTATCAAAGTAGGATAGTGTTGAGTATTGATATTTTTTAATAGGTGAACTTCGTTCATACCGTCTTCACGCATGATTATTGTGGACATAATTATAGATTGTTTGTAAAATAATATTGAAAGCATAAACACTGATCTTGATATAGTTAAAACTTGGTTTGTTAAAAATTCACTAGAAATAAAATAGGGTAAGTTTAAATTTTTTACAATTTAAAATTAAATATAATGCTAAATATTCGGAAATTCAAAAATGTATTGTGTGTGTGATTGCCCGTCTATTTTAAGATAAATATATTTGTATATAATTAAATATTTAGATTTGAATATTGATTATTGTCTAAAGTGAAATGTATATATTGAAAAATTTACATTTAAATTCAGACAAATTTTTTAGTTATTCAAAAATCTTAAAAATGTTTTGAATTATAAACTTTAACATTTAATAATACTCTATGCTCTAATATAATCTAAAATTATATATGACATTTCTTTTTGACGTTCTGTTCATTAAACTCACATCAATAAATTAGAGAAAACATTAAAATCATTAATTAAATATTTATTCTACAATATTTACTATACAAATACACTATGAAGAGAATTTAAAATATTTATCATTTCTTCGCTTCATTTATTGTATGTTTGTTGTTATGTATTGTACCTTATTATTTAAACACAAATATAACATAGTACTACCAAATTATTCTCATTGTACTACGTTTAAGTTCAATCTAAATATAACTATTCCTAAATTAAGGATTTATTTTGCACAGTCGGGATCAGATTATGTATTTGAAAATTCCTGTGTACAATTTGAAGTTAATCCTCATCAATTTTATTATCCTAATCATTAATCATTTAAAAAAATATATTTCAGCTATTATTGATAATATCATGTAAATTAGAACAAGAGCATTAAATTTAACATTATTTTGTTGGTATTTTATTATTGTAAAAACATTTTCTTACATGTTAGGTTTCTTCCTGTTATCTATAGTTACCTGTATTTATTTAAATGTACAAAATTGATATTATAATGTCTTATTTTTTAATTTTAATTCATAACATTGTTAAAGTTTGTTTATTAAATATTGATAAATCTACAAGAGATGGATCCATAGTTTGAGAACTGTATGCTAAACTATTTCGAGAAACCACTTATTAGGGCTGAAACTGGATTATAAATGTATACCTTGTAACAAAAAAACACAATACGATCATATAATATATGTTTTTAAGTTTATTCATAATTATCATTGAAAACATTAACATTAATTTTTTTTATAAAAGATTCTGTCTTACAAGAGGTCCGGTTTAGAGATGTTTCACTGTACTATACAATTAAGGCAGTTACGTAGTTTAAAGAATAGCAACTGGGACACTTGTCCCAGTCTAGTATAAACTTCAATGTGTATTTTTTAAGTGTGCCCTAACTATAGTTAGGGCACACTTAAAAAATATAAGAAGTATTTAAGAGGCCAATTTTGTGAACAAATATTAACTGTGGGTAAGCTGACCTGAACCTCCTCCCCCTAGATCCAACCTCGTGTACAACTTATAGTTATTATATTAATTTAATACTACAATTAACTGTTACCTACTTTTGCACAACCAGTAGCTTGGAAGTAACCAACTTCTTTTAATTATATCATTACCTATAATGTAAGACTTTAGTTGGAAAGTAAATATATTAATAATATTATTATTGTTATTATTATATTTATATTTTAAAAAAATAAAGCCAAAGAAAATATAAATATACATTATACGGCTCCTGATAAAGCAGCCAATCTTTTTCATCCTATTCTTTCTGGTAAATTTTCAAAAATCTCATTTCCCCCCCCCCCCCTTAAATTAGAGTTTAGGCAAATTTTAGTGGTGCGAATCAATCTTTGTACCTATCAATATTAGAGTAAATGCGAAAAGGTCTATTTGCTATCATTATAAAATATAATTGTTATCGATGCGGAATAATTCGAAAATATATAGTTATTTCAATTTCACACATTGTAAATGTAAAATAACATCCTAATTATTTTCGTAAATTTATCATCTCTCTACATTCCCTCCACTGTGATTAGGAATCAATCACCTGAACGCAGCCAAATTATTAATATTCGGATGAGGGGATAAAAGATTCCCGATCAGATCTTTATGTTTGTTTTATATATAAGTATTAATTTTACAAACGAAAGATTTCTTCTCCGATTAGATGGTTATTGATAGGTACACAACGATGACTACCAAAAACGGATCGGCGTGTACCGTTTTCGTGTACGGAAACAAACGTCGCGATGCAAATCCCTGTAGACCACGCGAGTATGGAATAATATATTTTTATTAAAATACGTCTCCGATGTGGTTCTCCACCGCTGCGGTGCGCGGCACATCGACCGGTGCTGCGCTCCGACGGCCGTTTCGGAGGAACGACGTCTCGCGGGACCGACAGGCCGGTGCCGCCGACGAGTCGTTATCGCGCGGTCCGGTCAGTCGCTGTTTGCTCGGTCAGCTGTCGCGTTGTCGTGCTCGTCTCTCCGCGCCGTGGTCTCGTCCGCCGTTCAGTTTCCGACGTGCGCGTACACGTAAATGATCGTCGAGAGAATAAACGACCCGCGGAACCCGTCACGAGGAGTGTAACCGCGCGCGTCCGTCAGTAATTCGCGAGAAACGCTCTGCACCGGTTTCCCGTGCACGTTTCTGGTGCCGCATACTATTGTTTCGTCTGCTGTCGCCCGCGCCAACAGTAAAACCAATTCGGCGCGTATTTCCGATCGCGAAACATCGGGATTTCCTCCCCCCCTCCCCCGGGAGTCTCGTCTTCACCGCAACCGATCTCGAACCCGTTTTCCACGGTGCTCGCGTCAACGATGACCGCATCACGAGAACCATCGATGGGTCGCGCGGAAGCTTTCGCGTTGCTGCTGCTGTTGGCTACAACCATCTCGGCGGTTCAAGACTTTGTCGTCGCCGACGAGGACTTGATGAAAGCCTCGCCGCTCACGGTAGCACAATGCCGTGCCGGATGTTTGCACAAGGTCGGTGGTTATTTATTCTATTATTCCCCTTACACAGTATACCGACGATCTTGTTGGTTTTAAATGCGAATGCGTGCATTACTCTGTTCAGGGCTGGGCTACAATAACAACTACAATCCGAGATCCTACCTTGTATCGTGTAACGAGATACATGATTTTTGTTAATCTCTTGTCTTGTATTTAATTTTTTTTTTTTTTTTTGTATCCGTATATTTGTATGTTCGAAAATAACAGTTATCCTAACCGCCCAATAACATGATATGGAATATTTAGACTTGTAGTTAATTGTTTTTAATGTTAGGTAAGTAAGATTATAGTAACTACTGTCTGTATATCAGCGATTAGACTCAACGGTCACCGTTTGGTTTATATTTAGTATTTCGTACAATACAAGTATTATTAAAAATTATGGATAACCAGAATAATTCAATAGTTAATAAATACAATTCATAAAATATTACAAAATCCGTTACTCTTCAGCTGGTGTTTAAAGATTATTTTAATTTGACAGGTAGATCTAGTACGTCAGACTAATACTTTAAAAAAACTAGTGACTTTAAAAGGTAACGAGGAATTTGTTATGGGATATAAATTATTTAAATTTAATCATTTAATTATTAATAAATAAAAATCTCTAATTTATATATATATATTTATTTTTTTCGTAATATTTACTAATCGTGTACGTAATTTTTTTTTGTAGATTGTACATCTCTTCTTTTTTAAAAAAATAAAAAAAAAAGTGTTTATTCATTATTAGATTATTATTAGTATTATTATTTTAAGCGTATCCAATGTCTCTTGAAATTGACTTATAAAAATATAAAGTATCTTGTATTTTGTATTTAAATACTAATTATAAATGTATCTTGTACCGTGTATTAAGATACTTTGTTTGAGGTATCTTGTCCGGCTCTGATTCCGTTACATCTAAAGTGTTAATTTCTGATAAAATATATTATCTTAAATAACTTGTGACTTTTAAAACAATCGGTGTATAATTATTTGCTCTTTTAAATTATCGAGAGTAAATACAAATTATATTGTATCACGAAGATTGCTCTTGTGGAAAATCAAAATGATAATAAAATAACTTTTGTTTTTTCGTGGAATGATGAGAATTCGTATTTATGATAGGAAAGTTTTCACTTCAAATTCGTCATTTGTAATGAGTTACCTTAATTAAATGTGTATGCAATCCTAAAATTCATGTATCAGAGAGTCTCATAATATTTTACCAAAACCGATATTTTTAAATATAAAAAGGTAAATAATACTGTAGCTGTTGTAGTGCTTGAGTAAATACACGAATAATTAATATAGCCTGGCAAACGGTAAAAATAATGAAGTTTTTTCTACAAATTTCAATGAATTTTAATTTTTGTTCAACCTAAACTTTTCTGTGTTAAAATATCACATTAATATCTTTAACTTTGAATTTCATTAATTCCATTAATATTGTCTTATTTCCTATTTTTGATGAATAAAACTAATTTGTATTGGCTGTCAAAATTTATGTTAATTATTTCATCTAAGTTTTATTTTATGATTTAGTAGAAATCCTATAAAGCATAAATTATTTAAGTATATGAAATATTTATTAATTGTATTTTTATACATTTTGATTTTTTAAAATCGGTTTTTTCATTGAAAATTCCATCTCATGGGACAATAATCTGACGTTATACCACATGATGAAGAATTATTTTTGAATCCTTAATTTTATTCTTCTCACATACATAGTACTTTAACGTTTTATATTTAAATATCTTGCACTAACCATGGGGAACAAAAAATATGCATGTCTAATCGATTCATTATAACCAAGTAGGTTCATTATGCTTGACAATTCCACTAATTTTCAGTATTTAGAAAATAATTGTTTCAGATAAACGATGAGAAGCTTAACCCACTAGTGCCCAAATTATTTTTCATTCCCGTCTTGATCTACTGAATACTACACCTTGTTATTTGAGGCACTCTATTTTAAAGATCATCTTTATCATTAGATTAGTTTTATTATCTTAATTCTGTGATTGTGTTGCATTTAGGAAGAAAAGTAATTTTTTTTATCTTTTTTATGATTATGGTCACAAAATTGATGCTAGGTAAAAAATTGAACTAGACTTCAGACTTTTAAAATGCGCAGTGTATACATATGTTTGTATATAAAATTTCAAGCCCTCAAAATTTTAGTACCTATATTAAAATTTAAAAAAAAAAAAATATTAACATCAAATTATATATTTAGATATGTGTATATTTTTAAAATATTTAAAATAAGATGCTTATAATCAAAAATATTTAGAAGTATAACTTTGAAACATATTTATATATGTATAAATATAAAATAAAATGTATTATAATTTATTATATAATATTTAATACTTTATATTTTTATAATATATATTTAAATAGCCCGGTGAATAATAATAATAATAATATTATTTTATTATAAAAAAATAACAAGAGTAATAACTATACTAGGTAGATAGTAGTTATAATATTGTAGTAGATTAGTAGCAGAAGCAGTAGCTTGTTCCTCGCAGATTTTATCTCGTTAATATACAATTCTTTAACGCCCTTATTTATTAAAGTTCTAAATAATATGATGTGTAATTGATGAATATTGGATTTTTAATATATTTTATCAATTGTATCGTCTTCGATACGTAATCATCAAATGCCAAATGGGCATTTTTTTTTTAAAATTTGCAAATTTTAGGTTCTATGGTAAAATGTTCAGAATCTCATAAATGCTTTTGCTGTAAGAATAGTATGTCTGTATATTACAATATATTTATATAATATAATTATTTGGTTTAGTGAATATATTTCAGAGAACGTTATAATTACGTCATCGTTTGCGACTTGCGAAAACATTTAAGAACAATAATGATCGTCGTTCCTTGACGAACAAAATGTCTTCGAAAATTATTATTTGAATATATAATAATAGAGAAATGTCAAACGATAAGTCGCGTTTACGGACGAGAAAGTTTTAATATGTTATAATACATCAAAATATCAATAGTAGTATAGCAAAGATTTTTTCGGCAATTTGATTATGTTTTTAATTTTACCTAGTTTTTTATTCGAGTATTTTCTATCTACATATTGAGAGGATCAGGCATTTATAGTGTATGTAATATCATTTTTGCGAAAACAGCAAGCAGAAGAGTGGTGTGGCGCTATATTACTACTAAACATAATACCGATGTATGAATCATTTTTATAATTAATCTCGTTTATCAGTCTTGACATCAATCGTTTATCAAATACATAACAGAATGATGACGACAAAATTTTGGTTCATAATCTTAATCATATAGAGATGAGATGCACGCACGAGCCCTTCCGGTCCAAAAATAAGTTTTCTTAGTGTATATGTGTTTTCCCCTGATGAGTGTTTGTTTTAATTTTTTTCTTTAATTTGGTTCTGCGTGCGTTGAAAACATTTAATAGGTGTCCGCTCTTAATAGGGCCCTTTAGACGAACGCTTTTTTTAGCGCGATTGGAACGTGGCAATTCAAACTCGCGGGGAAGAGTGCACGTTTAAACGTAATTTATCCCACAGACTTAGATCGCGAGTATTCTGTGCGGTTTATCCTTGAATCTTGGAGTGTCATTTACATTACACGTACATGATTTTTCCACACGCCAAGCAAGCATGAAAGATAATTAACTATCGATATAAATAAATCATCGATATATGTATATCATCGATATCGATAGTCCAGATATCAATATACTATCAAGGTAAACATCAAATGATACAGAATCCATTCTAAGATAATTCCTAAAATCATCTGGGTTATTTTCTCTTATTTCACTGAGTAAAGGTATATTTCCGAATTTAGCTATATCCAGTTTCCAATTTTTCACCAATTGCGATCTCTTTTTTTTTTTTGCTTTGATGTTGAAATACTTATAGCAGCACACGCGATTGCCAATTGCTTTTTCTTAACATGTTGTTTGTACATTCTATTACTATTTTATTACTTTTTACACTTGCATAATATAGATACTAGGTCCTCCTTTCTGTGCAATCAAAAATCACTATATACGAGTAGGAAACTTACTATACAGAAAAAACATTAAGCTAAGCACCACTGAATAAATTAATAAAAATAATTTATAATAATGATAATAATTATTATTTTTTTGATAACAAACCCATCAACTGATAATTTACCGCAAAAGTGTTGATATTTTCAACACTCCAAACGCCACGCCATTCGTGCGTGAAATTCACAGTTTTACCCTTTACACAACCATGCTTTCCTACATTCCTAGACCACCAGGTAAAGAGCGAGCGCCTGGAGTGTTCGTTAATTTGCTACCACAATATTTTTTCTGTTTTCAGTCTTAAAGTATTTTTGCAACCATTTCTCTCTTTTTGCTGTTATTTATGCCTTCATTTTCATTCTTATATCCGAATATTGTATATACCCCATAGTACTTGGAAATTTGTTGTATGTTTCTTAGTTATGGTCTTGTTCTGTGATTTCCCGTTTAAGTCCCTTTCTATAATTACTTCAAGTAAATGTATCATGTATTAGCCCAGTGATGGCCAAACTTTTTTTCTTCGGGCCATAAAAAACAACTTTTTTTTATCGCGGCCATAAAAAAATGCATTCTAAATTTTTTTTTATGTAAATGCAAAATATTACAGTTATACAAATAAGTGCTGTAATATAGAAGACTTTCGCGGGCCAGATATTAAATGATGGCGGGCCGGAGTTGGCCCGCGAGCCGTAGTTTGGCCACCACTGTATTAGCCAATCCATTAATTTCTTCTCTTATTAATATTTTTCAATGCAGTTATTTATTATATATTTTTAACGCAAAAAACTTTTTGTGACCACATGCAAGACGCACGTTAGAAAACGGTCATCACCGTTGTCGGTAATCTAGTTAATAAATCGAATTACATGCACAATGAATGTGACCGTTTTGATATTTTTAAAATATTCGCAAGCACCTGATTTCACGCCTAC